CATTAGACTGCATTACCCTGCATTAGACTGCATTACCCTGCATTAGACTGCATTAGACTGCATTACCCTGCATTAGACTGCATTGGACTGCATTACCCTGCATTAGACTGCATTAGACTGCATTACCCTGCATTACCCTGCATTAGACTGCATTAGACTGCATTAGGCTGCATTAGACTGCATTGGCATGCATTAGACTGCATTAGACTACATTAGACTGCATTGGCATGCATTAGACTGCATTAGCCTGCATTAGACTGCATTAGCCTGCATTAGACTGCATTAGACTGCATTAGCCTGCATTAGACTGCATTGGCATGCATTGGGCTGCATTAGACTGCATTAGACTGCATTAGGCTGCATTAGACTGCATTAGACTGCATTACCCTGCATTAGACTGCATTGGACTGCATTACCCTGCATTAGACTGCATTCGACTGCATTAGACTGCATTACCCTGCATTACCCTGCATTAGACTGCATTAGACTGCATTAGGCTGCATTAGACTGCATTGGCATGCATTAGACTGCATTAGACTACATTAGACTGCATTGGCATGCATGGCATGCATTAGACTGCATTACCCTGCATTAGACTGCATTACCCTGCATTAGACTGCATTAGACTGCATTACCCTGCATTAGACTGCATTGGCATGCATTGGACTGCATTAGACTGCATTAGACTGCATTAGGCTGCGTTAGACTGCATTAGACTGCATTACCCTGCATTAGACTGCATTGGCATGCATTAGACTGCATTGGCATGCATTAGACTGCATTAGACTGCATTGGCATGCATTAGACTGCATTAGACTGCATTAGGCTGCATTAGGCTGCATTAGACTGCATTGGCATGCATGAGACTGCATTAGACTGCATTAGACTGCATTGGCATGCATTGGCTGTATTAGACTGCATTACCCTGCATTAGACTGCATTGGACTGCATTACCCTGCATTAGACTGCATTAGACTGCATTAGACTGCATTACCCTGCTTTACCCTGCATTAGACTGCATTAGACTGCATGAGGCTGCATTAGACTGCATTGGCATGCATTAGACTGCATTAGACTGCATTCGCATGCATTAGACTGCATTACCCTGCATTAGACTGCATTACCCTGCGTTAGACTGCATTGGACTGCATTACCCTGCATTAGACTGCATTAGACTGCATTACCCTGCATTAGACTGCATTGGACTGCATTACCCTGCATTAGACTGCATTAGACTGCATTACCCTGCTTTACCCTGCATTAGACTGCATTAGACTGCATTAGGCTGCATTAGACTGCATTGGCATGCATTAGACTGCATTAGACTACATTAGACTGCATTGGCATGCATTAGACTGCATTACCCTGCATTAGACTGCATTACCCTGCATTAGACTGCATTACCCTGCATTAGACTGCATTGGCATGCATTGGACTGCATTAGACTGCATTAGACTGCATTAGGCTGCGTTAGACTGCATTAGACTGCATTACCCTGCATTAGACTGCATTGGCATGCATTAGACTGCATTGGCATGCATTAGACTGCATTAGACTGCATTGGCATGCATTAGACTGCATTAGACTGCATTAGGCTGCATTAGGCTGCATTAGGCTGCATTAGACTGCATTGGCATGCATGAGACTGCATTAGACTGCATTAGACTGCATTGGCATGCATTGGACTGCATTAGACTGCATTACCCTGCATTAGACTGCATTGGACTGCATTACCTTGCATTAGACTGCATTAGACTGCATTAGACTGCATTACCCTGCTTTACCCTGCATTAGACTGCATTAGACTGCATGAGGCTGCATTAGACTGCATTGGCATGCATTAGACTGCATTAGACTGCATTGGCATGCATTAGACTGCATTACCCTGCATTAGACTGCATTACCCTGCGTTAGACTGCATTGGACTGCATTACCCTGCATTAGACTGCATTACCCTGCATTAGACTGCATTGGACTGCATTAGACTGCATCAGTCTGCATTAGACTGCATTAGACTGCATTAGACTGCATTGGCATGCATTAGACTGCATTGGCATGCATTAGACTGCATTAGACTGCATTAGACTGCATTAGACTGCTTTAGCATGCATTAGACTGCATTAGACTGCATTAGACTGCATTAGACTGCTTTAGCATGCATTAGACTGCATTAGACTGCATTAGACTGCATTAGACTGCATCAGTCTGCATTAGACTGCATTAGACTGCATTAGACTGCATTAGATTGCATTGGCATGCATTAGACTGCATTAGACTGCATTGGACTGCATTAGACTGGTTTAGACTGCATTAGACTGCATTAGACTGTATTAGACTGCTTTAGCATGCATTAGACTGTATTAGACTGTATTAGACTGCTTTAGCATGCATTAGACTGCTTTAGCATGCATTAGACTGCATTAGACTGCTTTAGCATGCATTAGACTGCATTAGACTGCATTAGACTGCATTGGCATGCATTAGACTGCATTAGACTGCATTAGACTGCATTGACATGCATTAGGCATTTATCCGATTTACAAACATTGATTGAACAACGAACAGAAAACCCGAGTGGGAAACTGTTTGGGCTGAGGTTTAATAAGGCATTGAAATAGTGTTGATTTATAGATAACGTTTTGAAACGGTTGTTGCGTATTAAATTTGTGTTTTGTAGGTATGTTTTTTGGGGGGTGGTTGGCTCAGAGTCGGGTATTTTATGATGGGGTCTATTGCTTGCAAAGGATGTATGGAGGGGTAATAAAGAAAATAGCATAAAAAGCGTAATATTTTGTGAATGGCCCCATAGTGTAACTAGTATTTGAACTAAAATAACACAATAGGAAAAATATGAATAGTATTATCAAAAGAAATTATTAAGTGAATAAAACTGATTAAAAAACTAAATAAATTTCAAAAATAAATTCCAAGCAACGTATATAAATCAGTTAATCGTTGAGTAATATTTTGTTAATCTAGACAATAATTTGTGTATACAGCATATAAAATTTATCGCGACAATAACAATTTCTTGGCAATTGTTTTTGAGGTTGAACTAGTATAATTTCCAACAAATCAATAAAAATATCAATAATTTCATATACAGATAATTCAAAAAAGGTAGTCCTTTGCAAACTTTAAACTCTAAACCTTAAACTTTAAACTCTAAGCGAGCAAAGCTTAATGGGAGCATGATTTAACCAGTTTAGTTAATGAGAAGTCATATATAGGACCCATATCTTCGAGACATGGTAAATATCTCGTGGCCTTACGAAAACAACTCATTAACAAATAGATGCAAGATTCAATAACTAATCTTGAAAGTTGAATCTCAAATTCATTAATAATTCATGAGCAATTCAGCCAATGATAATCACCTATTTGATAACAAGATGTTATTTGGATAACCCGGTGAAACTTGATGAAAGTCACTAGTGTTTTCATTAAATATCTTAATTACGCATGCAAAATGACGTTATGCTTGGTTAAGAATTATATTCAAATTAGCAAACGAAAACATTCTGTTACGTCTCGATTCATTTGAGAAGCCATATACATTGTTTTCTCGTGTTTGGATATCCCGGTGAAACACTCGCTCTCGTTGTTCATATATTACATCTCGTGCTCCCATTAAGCTTTGCGCGCTTAGAGTTTAAGGTTTGCAAAGGGCAAGCTTTTTTGAATAGCTGGTGCCCCTTATTACGTATTCTGAATACAACTACCATGATACTTTGCGGGTATTTTCTTCATTATGAAATAACATGTCCGAAAAGCATGCTGGTAGTTGTATTCAGAATACGCAATAAGGGTAACGGGCTATTAGCTGTATATGGATTGTATCACTAATTTGTAATTAATTGCATGAATCACTTAGTATTTAATTAAATGGAAACAATGGTAACTCTGAAACGGTTTTTAATGCATTTTTTTGAATAGACGCTTTTCAAAATGTTCAATGCGTTTTAAGAGTTACTATTGTTTTGTATTTATCTTTTATGGTTTACAACATCTTTTATTCAGTCTGCTGTAAGGACTCATTTATTTCTTGAATATCTTGAATATTAGATACTTTCCCGCTCATTTGTGCCGTTGATTTCGCTCGTATCTTTGCTCGGTGTTCGTTTTTCTGCCATTTTTTGTCGTAGTCAGCAATGAAATTGTACAGCTTAGCTATGTCGTTAATAGATGGTGACAAAGGTAACGTCGAAAGCAAAGACAAAATACTTACTAGAACGAACGTTTCAAAGTGTGTCCAAGATCCTTGCAATGGTTCGTGTCCCATTTCCTTTTTTAGATATTCTTTGCTTTTCGCTCTTTTGTACGGCGACGGATTTACCCTTTTTCGTTTTCCACTTTTCGTTTCATCATTCTGCGTTGGTACTGGAAGCTCTTTTGTTTGATTATGGCAGTTGTAACACTCGCATGCACTCGTACATTTCCAACCATTCTTAAGGCACCTACATTTGGACTTCCTTACACCGTCCGTACAGGATTTGTATAGGGGATCAGATTTCTTTTTTCCTTTACCACAAGAGCAACTTATAACATTCGAAGTTGATTGGACGGTAGTTATTTTCTCTTTGTTTTGGCAGCCTTTGCATTTGCATTCTCTGGAACACACATCTCCATTAACAGCACACGGACAACGTGACGATTCATTTCGTACGCAATGAACCACTTCGGCCTGTTCCCGCTTGCTATTTTTTCCACAGGTGCAACGTGTTAAACCCCGGTTTGGATTTTTCTTTGATGAGTCTAAAAACAATTCAACTATTTTAAATTGTTGATAGATTTATTCATTTCGAGAATATAAAATTGGGTAATGAATAATTTGTATATGTAATGGAAAGAATATTATCATATGGTGGAAGATAGGAAACATCTATATCTTCCAGAAAGTTTCCACATATCTTGAATGGAATATTAGTTAAATTAATTAGCCTGATAGGTTTCTGACTAACGTATTTTGCTTAACTATATCATCTACAAGCTGTTGATCAATTGTTTCTGTGTATATTATGTTATTCAATCCTTTTAGTTGCAGCAATGGAGTATCAAACACATTAAATGAACGGTTTTGGTTCGCAGTGTTTATTCGCTCCAGTACATTGAGCATTTCATTTGAATGTTTAAGTATGGTTTCGGCAACATCTACTTGGCAAAAATCGTCAACTGAGTCACCAACCAGAAGTAAAGGTGATTCCACAGGCTTCGTTTGGGACTCAGTTTCGGTTTCTTGATTTACCAATATATCTTGATCAGAATTGGTTTTGTCCAAATTACTTTTTGAACTGACAGCCGGTTCCTTGCCGCATTGCAGCACGGATTCAATTGGAATAGATACGTGCGTCCTGGTATTTTTGTCATGGTGATATCGTTTTCGTTTGCTGTTTATTGTGTAGAAAAGAATGGTCAGTACAGCAGTTGCCAATTCTGGACCGATTGTTGACGATCCACATAGAAGACATCTATTTATAAAATGATGTAAATTTTCATTAATAGAAGTTCCTTCTCCTGGATTAATATCCGAAAGGCATCCTTTGCGAACGTGTATTTTAATTTTATTTATTTCGGTTTTTGTTTTCTCATATTCAGGTAAATCCAGCACATGTTTCCATCTTCGCTCAAAGTTCTCTATATTTTCTTCAGTTACGTTGGGTGGTGGTGTAGGCATGTTCCTGGTTTGTCCCAAGTCTGCATTATTTCTGAAAACTAAGCCAAATTCATTGGCAACTTTTTAGACATTTCCGTCCCTTTATACGCACAGTACTGGTAATGCGCTGCACGGCATGAAACAAATCAAGTTTTACTACTTGTTCAGCACCAAAAACTGATTGGTATTTGCCTCTCACTTTGCAACAATCATCTACGAAGATAGCTCGAGCTGTAACACCGGCTTTGTCTAATCGTCCCTTTAGTTCCTTAAGATTGTTCTCTATATGCTCAAATTTTGTTGAACGTGTTAGACACCATGTCACTATTTCTTTGTTTTCATTAAGCCCCACAAATAAGTTTGAAAATTGTCCAACAAACTTTGCATCGTTATCTCTGACAATTCCAATATGCTTGCTCATCTTGAAAGTATGATCAAATGAGAGAATTGTGGCAGTTGTTTTTTTCAACTCGTTTTCGTAAAATACTTTCTTATCCTGAAAATCTTCGAGAAAGATTCGCATCAGCAAATCATTGCTTGGATATGCAAATAACGCGTCGTTGAAAAAATTCTCTGCTTTGAAGTCATGTTGTAAGGGATGGCTATTTTCATGAAGAAGGCTCGTGATATATCTATTACCTCTACGACAATAGTCCTTAAAGTGTAGAGTTGCAATTGCCTCGCTTATTTGAAGGAAGTTGACTCCTTGCGAAACCTGAGATGTCACATAATCAACAGCCTGTTTAGAAAACGCAGACCTATAAAGTACTTTGATTGGAAAACATTCTGCAGAGTAAAGATTTGGAATAATTCTTAAAATTTCAGGAGAAGATGATAAATACCTATGTTTTCCATAGCGGCAAAAATAAAATCTTTGCACCAGCAGAACATTTCCGTTCAGGTCGTAAACTAAACGTGGGTTGCGTGGACTCTTCGTTTCCACGAGATTTGTCCACAAGGCCGGCTCAAGAACAGTATTGTGCTCTGGACAATGTAGCTTCAGACTATAGTGAGTAATAGGGCACCAGATAAAGATTTTTGGCAAAAAGAACTCTGCTTTCTCGTTTCCACATAGTTTCGGATTAATGATATTGTCAAATGTGCCAGAAGTTGGATTTTTTGAAAATTCGTCTAAAATATGTTGGATGTATTTACCGACGGCTGCAATCTTCACGAAGGCAGGATACATTTTATGTAAATTTGCAAAGTAACCAATCAGAATTGACTCATAATTAGGCTTGTTTAAACTATTCAGCAGCCATTCTCCAACGTTATCGGGCTAATAATGTTGGACAATGTTTGACCACTCAGGAAACGTTTGAACAAATTCTGTCATTTTATTGAATACATTGAAAGTCTAACACAGTTGCTAGTCTTCCAACATACCCAACGGTCTAATTATTGTCACGCGGCTTTGAGATGCACTAATATTCTATTAATTAAACTCAATTAAGATTATTTTTTAATATTTAATTAATATATATATATATATATATATATATATATATATATATATATATATATATATATATATATATATATATATATATATATATATATATTATATATATAACTTGTCCACTACGAAATACAAAAGGACAGTAACTCCAAATAACATTGAATCTACGTTAGTCGAAACATAGATTCATTAAAGCTACAAAATGTTATTTGGAGTTACTGTCCTTTTGTATTTTATAAAAATACTCAGTGGTTCCCGTAACTATTGTCTACTACGAGTTTAGGTTTTTGTCCACGGTGGGATATTGAGTGTCGAGGGACGAGACGAGGGTCCAATGTCGAGGGTAAGGGTAAAAATAATCGAGGGTCATATAATTAAAAAAAGTCGAGGGTCATGTAAAAAAAATGAGGATCGTATTTATACGACAGCTAAGACAATTACTAACGATAAAAGAGTTTTTAAAACGGTCTGTAGAAAAATTCGGAGTAAAAAAGTTTTCTCGTTATGTAAACCATCAATTAGGGGAGAATTTGGTCTAGAAACTAACTCATTAAGTTCAAGTTTGGGTCGTCTAGGTACTATTTAAAACACGATCGAGTAGGAGTGTTTTATCAGATATAAAACGCGAGGAGCAGCCGAGCGTTTTATATCTGATAAGTCTGATAAAACACGACAACGAGTGTTCTGAATAGCTTACCATACGACTACAAAAGAATACTAATTAGGATGAACCATTATATAATCATACTAATAAGGATGGCATGTTGTCAAAGACGGACTGGACTGGACCGGACTGGGAAAACGCGGACTGAGTCCGTGTTTTACAAATCGCGGACTGAATTTGCAAAATACGGACTGGACGGTACTGGACCGGGAAAACGCGGACTGAGTCCGTGTTTTACAGATCGCAAACTGAGATTTGTAATACGTGGACTCATTCAATACCGTCGCTTGCAACTAAGGATGACAATGAACGGTTGCAGATAAAACATTGTCTATTCTCATGACAAAGTTCAATGTTTTTACCGAGAAAGTTCAATATTTGTGATGATCATGATCATTTGGTGGTTTCAAAGCTTAGATCTGGTTGTTCAACAGATTTTTAATCGGATCCGTCAAAACCTGTCAATGGTGCTCTTGATAAACATCGAAGATTCTCACGCGAATAGGTAATGTTTTTATGAACGACTGTTCATCCTGCAAGCGACGGCGGCAGAGCCGTAGCGACCGGGGTGTGTGGGGGGTGTAACACCCCCCTAATAATTGCGCATGTGGGCAATTTCAGGTAAATCCAGGTAGATCTGCAGAAGAAATTCAGGTAAATGAACACAAATTCAGGTAATTTCTAGCCCCAGAGAAAGTTAATTTACAAAAATAAGTGTGAATTTGGAAAAGAATAAATTTTGGATAAATGGAGAAAATTGCTGATGTCCGGAAAAATTTTTTTCGTCACGAAAAATTTCGGTATGTCCGGAAAAAATTTTTGTCCCCTAAAATGATACACTGACCGAAAATTTTTGGGCTGCCGGGGGGGGGGAGATCGCCCAAAAAATATTTCAGGTAAAAAAAAAAAATTCAGGTAGATTTCGAACTCTTGATACTTTCAGGTAGATTTAACCAAACACCCCCCCCCCTGAAGTGAGTCCCTCGGGACGCTGAGTGAGAGTTTTGGCGGAATTGCACTCAGTCGTAAGAGTTTCGGCGGGAATTGCAGATAATAGATCGGTCAACGAATAATCATATTCTGGAGCTATAAGGTTGGTATAAATTTAATACTATTATTTATTTATTGTTTTGAATAAACAGATGAACAGCGTTCAACAGTTAGGAACACGCTCAGTCATGCGGGATTTTTTGACACTATTGTCGAGGAAACTCATGCGTGTATCAAATGTGGCCGTTTCATATTTTATGTATTTAAATAGCTGTATCCAGGGCCTTTCAGGAGGGGATGGTGCTGCAAAGGGGGCAATTTGCCCCGGGCCCCCAGTTTAAGCCCCCCTTTGCAAAATAAAGAAGAAAAAAATTCGAACGTTATTTTTGTATAAATAATAGAATAAGAAAAAATTTTCTAAACCTAAATTTTACAGATATTGGTCCCCCCCCCTTCCTCCACCCGCTCACCACATTTTTGGGAAAAATAGGGGCCCCGAAATAAAAATTCGCCCCGGACCCCGAATTCTTCTGATAGGAGTAATAGGACCTGGCTGTATCCTTTATAGATAATAGATATAGATAATAGATATAGCTCTTATAGCAGATACCATTTAGTGTTAATCATAACTCGACGAAAATAGAGTTAATTTGTTTATTTTGTGTTCGTGGCAAAGAGGGCGTATGAACATGATGGTTACTATAAATTTGCGAGAAATATGAAATGAATACTATAATCCGAATAAACGATAATTAGAAACTTCCTCGTACGACAACAATAAAAGTTTATTATAATGTATATGCACAACACTACTTTTGATGTTTTGATGAGTATAAGAGTTTCATCGTTTCATAATAACACAATTTAAAAGGTATGTACATTCGATTAGAGTACTTATTTATTTCAAATTTCTCGCAAATTTATATAATAGTAACATTTTAATACGCCCACGAACACAAAATAAACAAATTAACTCTATTTTCGTCTAATTATCATTACCACTAAGTGGTATCTGCTATATTTTATACAGGATACAGCTATTTAAATACATAAAATAAGAAACGGCCACATTCGATATACGCATGAATTTCCTCGACAATAGTGGCACAAAATCCCACATGACTGAACGTGCTCCGTCGTGCAACGCTGTTCATTTGTTTATTCAATTGGAGTTCATGCATTTCCCATTTTACAGTACCTTGTAGCGTATATTTTTTCTTCCGCTGACCTTATTTTAGTATCTTACGGTGATTTTTTCGCCCTCGATATTTAATATTCGACATTTGACACGTTACTCTCGACATTTAGCAGTCGACATTTAACCCTCGACTTTTTACCCTCGCCCTCAACATTAAACTCTGGCTCGACACTCAACACTCGACTAATAGGTAAACTCTATCAAATAACGTCAGCAAATTTTTTTTGTTTTTTGTAAAAAAAAGTTAAAACAGCAAATTAAAAAAAGGTAGTCATTTGCAAACCTTAACTCTAAACCTTAAACTTTAAACTCTAAGCACGAAAAGCTTACTGTAAAGGGAGCACAAGTTTCAAGCTTAGCTGCTCGCAGGCTAATTAGTTGAATATTGCAGCTATATTAGTGTGAATGAATTGTTCTCGTAAGGAATTGACTTTGATTAAATGATGCTCCCATTATACTTTGCACGTTTAGAGTTTGAAGTTTGCAAAGGGGTTAACCTTTTTCAAAATAGCTGTATACATATAAGAGAAGACAGACAAGACAAGAAAAAAAGTACAAGGCAACGTTTCGCGAACGAAGCAACATAGCTTAAGTTTTGATACGACACATAATATATTTACACCCACCTGACTACAGTTATGCTTCTTCTCCAATGACAATGTTGTTTCGCTTCACGTTTTGCTCATTCGTGCGCTTACTATAAACGTTTACCAAATTTCCAATAATAGACAATGCTAAAGTAAAGTGTACTTTTGTGCAATATTTTTCTTGCGACGTATAATCGCGCAAACTGAAATCATTTAAGAAAACAAATAACTTTTATGGCTTTGTATTCCTAACAAAATAACTGTCAATCTCAATATAATTACAGTGTTGATTTTTTCAAGTGACCTGAAGTGCTTGCTTCCTTATCTCATGACGTTTAGTTTACCTTATTATTAGGGTGGGCGCGGTTTTCCTTTTATGTACCGTGGTCTCAAAGGCCGTCGGCACCAAAGTGAGCTGAGATGAAGTTTGGCTTGACTTTACCTGATAAGTGAAGAATGTCGGCGTAGCAAAACGGATTATGGTGGCGTCGCCACTTTACAGATTTTGCCGGATGTTGGTAAAAGCTTGCATGGCGGTTGTTTTCTTTTCTTTTCTTATCGTTTCCATTTAGCCTTTGGGTTTGATTTTTAAGTGCTATCTAAAACATGAGCAGCAGTGATTTATCTTATCTTTAATTAGGTCTGACAAAACACACACTGCGAATGTTTAAATTGCTTCAAAAATGATCGATCTAGTAATAAGTTTTTTGGCAAAGTAATTTTCAAAAAACGGGAAAGGGAAATCTCTATCACACATATCCCACCGGGCACACGACGTTGTTTCAACGTTGAAATTTGGTAGAAAAAAGGTTGCGACGTCGACAACCTAATATCTACGTTGCTCTGACGTTGTTTTACAAACATTGGTTCAACAGCAGCCAATTAACAGACGTTGAATTAACGTTCATTCATGGCTAAATGTACGACGTCGATTTGTGAACCAATCTCAACGTTGTTTTAACGTAGATTCGACGTTGAATTATGGTTGACGAGATTGGCAACCTAATTTCAACGTTGTTTCGACGTCGAAACAGTAACGTCGATCCAATTTGCATAGTCAACCCTTTTTCAACGTCTATCCAACGTCTGGAAGGTCATTTTCCACGTTGATTTAACATTGTTCTCAAGCTACGGTCTTGTCACGTCTTCAATTTTTATACAAGAACTTCAAGAACTTCATTGGATCGGAGGTATTCTGGCTTTGCCTATTTAATAAATTTATTTGTTATAATTACAGTAATTACTTTGCATAATATGTCCGGCTTTATACCCAACATTCTAATATTCGGCCACTCTTTCGTACGTCGCTTAAAGTGCCTATATCACTCATGGGATTTTTATGGATTTGGAAAGAGCACAAAAAGTTAGTATAGGGGGTCTAGATCCTTTTTTGATATAAAACAATAATTTCTGAGATATCGGGCCTCAAACAGGGCATTTTGGAAAAAAAGGTGTGTTGCTCGGGGGACTGGGACTCAGGAACCGGTCTTTAGTCAAATACTATAAAATCTATTACGTTTTTGCTTAGCGGCTGACAAAAACGCAAATATTTCAGAGGTAAATTGTTATGTCTAGCTCAGAATCGTTCTCTAGTTCTGACGAGGGCTCCTACGGTTGCCCTGAATACGAAATTGAGGATGAAACATGCGAAACGACGTCAAATGATGGATATGAAAGTGAGCCTTCGTATGCCGTCGAGGAAGAACTACGAGACGATGAGGACGTTTTAGCATACGCTGATAAGCCTTTAGCTGACGATTCGTGGGTCGAAGAATATATGCAAAGACAAGAACAACATACGCGGGAAATAGAAGAATTAAGTCTTCGATTAAGCGGAGAAAACCCAGTGAGCTCTTGGTAAGATAAGTTAAACAATTTTCTATTTGTAAATATTGTGTGGCCGCCATATTCACATTGGATTTTTCAAAAGACCACAACTAAAGTACACTGTATACCTTTTCTAGGTGCAATTGTGGTAACTGCAATACCGAAAATTTAGTAGAGGCAAAGGAATGTCGCTGTTGCACTGAATTACCAAACTGTGTCGCTGCATTGTCTATTGCAAACAAAAATGTTTCCGAGTCTTCTGATGACGACGCCACGAACACACAACAAATGTGCATCACAAATCACCCTGGATTCGACGCAATTTGTCTCAACAGATGGTCTCTGGAACTCGCTTCGGATAATTTTAAAACGCGTACTGGACAGAAATATCGACAAGTTGATTCAAAGGATAGGTCAGTCTCCACTTATGTATTAAAATATAAAACATGATAATATATAATTTAGATTGTAATCTGAGATAATTTTTATCTCTATTCCTTACTGCAACCTTTGTACTATAAAAAGTAAATATATAACCATATGGCTCTGTGTTTTTAGGTTTCTTCGTGTGGTGGCATACAGACAATTCACACGACTTGTTCATGGCCGTTTAAAAGACAAGCGAATACCATTGCCAGCTTGTGCTTACCATGCTATCCGCACATCCTTCAATGAAAAGGAAGACGACTTCAAAGGATATGAAGATCTGGAGGAAGAGGACTAAACGTACTGTAAATATATAGCACTTTATAGCACATAGTAACATACTTTGATTTGTTTTTTACAAAAACTGAAAAACACTCGGATAATAATCTATTTTATATAAACAATATAGGCAATTCCAGCTTTTAGTTTATGCGGGCAGGGGTGATGGGAAAGTAAGGTATCATATTGCTGATAATGCTAAATAATTTCAATAAAAACTACCGAAACAACCGAAATATTTCAATATTTACAAGTATAAGCTATCACTCCATGTTTACATGGTAACCATTTTTATTTTTTGTAGCCAATCATTTTTGGCGAAAATTGGTTAAGCACTGAATGGAATCCCTCTAGAGCACTTGTCTGACCAAAAGGAGATGCCTTCTTTATACCATTCATCAACTTGGTATTTGTAAGGGCAGCCAGCATTTTCTCATATGCAATGGAGTCTATAATGGAGATTACAAGAACATTTTTATTATACAATTGAAACTATAATTGTGCCTGCAAGTTAGGAACATATGCTATTATTCATCTATATAGATCCCAGAGGGCCTATATAGAACAATTACCATACTGTATCAGTGTATCACAGATATACAGTACATTGTAGCTACTCACCTTCATCTAGCCACTTGCGTTGTTGAATCTCATCTCCATGTGCACACTTGTCAAATACAGGGTTTTTGAGATTTTTATGCTTGTTAACAACATGGCTGAAGAATGATGTAAACTTAGCCCAAATAACATCGCCATTTCCATCTTGTGTTGTCATGGCACTCCAAAATAAGTGGTTTGCACATGGTTTAATCCACTCATTCACAATCTCATTTCCACTCACTTTTCCAATCTTTGTCAACACTTTGGTGATTTCTAAAACACAAGAATATACAAATCAAAATACAGGTTGTAATTCAGTGACATATTTCCAAAGCATATTTCTAGTAGATAAATTTGATGGCCTTTTCTGAAACATTTCTCTCGAATTCACATAATACCCCCCCAATCCTCCTGACAGTTTAAAATGAAATTACCTAAGCCGTGTTTACACCATGAGCCTAAACCTGGCCTGGGCCAATCTTTGGATGTGATTTTTGTAGTATAAACAGACTTTGGCCTGGCCTAGGCCAGGAAATCTGGACTACCTGTTTTGATGGGCCCAGAATTCTTGCCCTAGGCCAGGCAGAAGTGCGTTTACACTACAAAAATCACGTCCAAAGGTAGGCCCAGGCCAGGTTTATGCTCGTAGTGTAAACACGGCTCTAGTATGCTTGCAATTATAGAGTAGTAAAAAACTAATTTATTATTTTAACAACATACTCTTCTTTAGATGCCAAACATCAAAATAATGTTTGATGCTTGCCAGCTTTTCCCTCATGTGTTTAGCAATTCCTGAATGTCTGTCAGAAATGAAAGTTTTCAGGAGTAAGCCAGTGCCCAGAAGATATTCCATAGCCTGTACAAACCCATGGTACTCCATTGCAGTGCTGCTACCCACTTCATTTCTCTATAAATAAAAAATTGAATTGTGTAAAGGTATATTCTTGATGGAGATCAGAACATGTTTTTGCCTTAATCCATTCGGATGATTGCAAATTTCCCCTGAAGACAGTGGTCTTAGTCTCCTACAATTTGTACTTTTTAACATACCTGCACCAATGTAAAGTGAATGATAAATGGCACTGTACAACAAAATACTGTGTAGGCACAGTACTTGGCACTGTGACCCATGCTGTCATGCCTTCCATCACCAGCTATCATCAGATCACCTTGGCTTTTCAATGTTGAAATCAATCCCTCTTGATACTTTTTCCAATGGAGGAAGATCCCAGGAAATAATTTTTCCTACAAATATGATATACAAGTACTATAAAACACTGCAAAACTCTCTTGGAACCTTGTACCTAACTATCCATGTAAGTAAACCCATCAACTTGCAGTAATTTACCACTGACAAGTAAAATCATCTGCAGTTAGACAGGGTAAAATAAAAGGCATATTGTCAGCTAAATATTTATTGCTACACTCACACGTTGATGCTTGAAGAAGGTTGAAAGTGAGATGCATTTCAATCCCATATGCTGGAATACTCTCAGGACTTTGGTGGCTGATGTACCAGCAACAAGTATACCAAATGAAAGCAAAAAATTGCCAGCTGGAATCATTGTCCCTGTCATATATGGTTGACTGAACCACTTGGTTGTCTTGCCACACTTCGGGTTGGCACATATGGAGGTCACTTCGGCCATCGTACCATTTTCTTGGACTTCGACAAGAGGGTTGTCACATTTGCAGGCATGGCAAAATTTGAAGAGAGCGAGTAACTGTGTAAAGAACACAATGAACTTTGGCTCTCTTCTCAAATTGGAATCATTCAAAAAGATTCTAAAAAAGTAATTTATTTCAATTATTTCAGTGACTCCTTATAGCTTATGTTGTGTCAACTACTCTTGCAGAATATATAGTCTGTTATAAAGTTGTGTATCCACATACTGATCTTTCTACTCATCAATATGGTACATAGTCTTTCATGTCCAGTCATTTTTGTGGAATGTTTCATATGCATTATGTTTACATTTATTATCAGGGTTGTCCACTCACCTTTTATGTTGCGGATTTGTCTCATCATCTGTCTCAGTCTCTGTTGATTCTTCTGGTGTTTCTTCATCATAGCAATCCTCTTCATGGAAATCATCTGATGGAGGTATTCCAATGTCTGAGCTGCACTGTTCATCATCACTTACGATTGTTGTGAGATCACATCTTGACGCTGTACTGGGATGAGTTTCTTCTCCTGTGTTTTTTCACGATCATAAAAAGTTTGTTACTATGGTTAATTATTGGTGCTGGGTCACTACATGATTTATGATCTCTACAGTATGTGCAATCTTATACCCAGAGGCTACAGTGTAGGTTGATCCTATTGCTCTGGGTATGAAATTGCAGTAATGTAAGGCCAAAAGAAATCAGTACATATGACTTACCTGAATTTTTTGCAATTTGCATTCTGCAAACTTCAAGCTTGTTTTTTGCAGACAGCCAATCACTCTTGAGCCTCTTATTTTTTAGCAACAAAGCTTTGCAATTGCTACATTCCCCATGCTATAAAAGACAAAAATACATTCTTGAATTAGCCCTTTTGTATGTTTACAACACAAGAAACTATCATTAGTATATGGGTTTGCATGAACACTGAAATTTGCCTTGAAATAAAGTCTCACGTTATTGCATGCAATATGATACAAGTCTGTTCCAAAGTCCAAAACACTCGCCTCTTTTATTTTTTTCGAGGTTGAAGGTCCGGGTTCCTCACCAGTTGAAAGTCCTTCCTCAAATGTAATCTATAAATGTAGATATTATTTAGTTGTAAATACACCAAGAGAATTATACGTTTCAAAATACAAAATACTCACGTTTGTTGACATCGAAGACCGAGGTTCTTCAACAGTTGGGGGTCCTTCCGCAAATGCTATCTATAAATTCGCAAGATTTTATATCTTAGATTTAAATACAAACTATCAAAAGTAATAAAATATATAAATATAAAACAAAGCCAGGGATGGAAACGCACACGGTTTGAATACCTAGATTCAAACAAACACGAGATATAAATACACACCTTCCCTCTGTGTTGTATGCGCATACTTCGTTCACTATCCAAAGACGTCGCTTTAGGCAGCAGAGAAGGCACAGCAGTAACTCCAACTTCATCTCGCTTAAGCTTCGGGATCTTGTACTTCTCTACAGTGCTCGAACCGTCCTCAAAACATTCTTGCGCGAAGTGTTCAGAGCACACAACTGAACTAACACTTGGCAGCCATTTGTCTCTTTTCCGCCGAATGAAGTCCTCCCATTTCTTTCGTCTGCTTCTCGCAATTTGCCTGCTATCGTCCCAATAAGGTATACGGTATAAAGATATACCTTTTGTCGAACTTGCTGTGTTGTTACAGCCATAGACAACGCAGCGTTCTGGCATTATTTCGAAAAATACAAAGGATACCACCAGAGAAATTATATGTTTTTTATTAGGAAAGACGGCGTGCTTGCAAATTAGGTTCCTGAGTCCCAGTCCCCCGAGCAACACACCTTTTTTTTGAAAAAGGCGAAAAATGCCCTGTTTAAGGCCCGATATCTCAGAAACTATTGTTTTATATCAAAAAAGGATCTAGACTTTCTATACTAACTTTTTGTGCTCTTTCCAAATCCATAAAAATCCCATGAGTGATATAGGCACTTTAAACAAAACCTAACCATAACACAATAATTTCTGTTTTAAATTAGTTATCTTGAATGATTGCGTGGTTTAAAGAAGCGCATTTTCAGACATTCAAGGTTTAATGTGTTGTTTAATTTTCACATAGATGCAGAAGATGGTGAAAAATATCTTGTTGGAATTATAGTGTTAGCAATTTTACTGGTCATTTCATTCGCTATTTAACAAATATAAAACATTTTCCGTGTTGATATACAGTTATATCAACACGAGTGGAAATTGGGAAAACGAGAAATTGTGTGGAAACACGACGCCCGAAGGGCGGAGTGTTTTCACACAATTTCGAGTTTTCCCAACTTCCACGAGTGTTGATATAACTATATATCAATACGGAAAAAATGTTTTATATTTGTTTTATAATATAGCAATAATAATAATAATAATAATAATAATAGTCTTTATTAAAATACTCAGATACATCCGTCTGAGTTTACAATCGAAAGGTAATTGATCTAGTTATATTTACAATTGTAAGTTAAGAAGCGTAAAAAGTTTAAAAAGTTTTTAATAGATTAAAGTCTAAACAAAGTTATACAGACAACGATTTATGAACGACCTTTTGAATCTTTCTGTTCTCACTAGGGGGAGTTCATACTCATGCCCTCTAGGCCTAAGTAACCTACTTCTTTTTTCCGGCAGCAGTTCAAGCAATGCATTGTCCTCAGTTGATGTTAGTTTGTTCCACAGTTTCTTATCTCTCTTATCACGTATTTCTTTAATGTGTGTTCGTTTTGATATATAACCATTCTTATGTGCACGTTTAATGAATTTATCTATTTGGTTCAAATATTTACCGTCGTATGCACAACCCCACAGCTCAATAGCAAAAGTGAATATCGACATAATTAGGCTATCAAACAGCAGATCTAATTGTTTAATTGATAGTCCATAGTATTTGCAAACTCTCATAATATACATTCGTCCACTTGCTTTTTTGAGCATTTCTTCAAAGTGCAAATCCCAGTTGCACGGGTTATCTTGTAGAGTAACTCCTAAAAGCTTTAGCCATGTTTTTCGCTTAATTGAAGGGATAAGCTCGGGCAAAACTACAGAGGTGTGTCTGCGAACAACCATTTCGTACGTTTTTTCCAAGTTTAAGGGCATTCTATTCTCTTCCGCCCAATCCTGTAAACAGGCAGCTTCAGATCGAGATGTGTCACCACTTTCGTTGCCGGGCACTCCTAAGGTCAAATCGTCAGCAAATTTGACTAACGCATTACTAGGATCAGCAGTTTTAATATCATCAACCATTATTGAGAAAAGAACTGGGCCTAAAACAGTTCCTTGAGGGACACCACGATTAATATATAAATATTCTGTAACCATTCCATCAACCATTACTCTTTGTATTCTATTTTCTAGAAAGCTAATTAACCAGTTCACCACATACGGATTAATGGGTAGCTTTTTAACTTTTTCAAACAAAAGATCGTGGGGCACACTGTCAAATGCTTTGCTGAAATCGAACGACAGCACTCTAACATAATTAGCGTTTTTATCCGGCCACTCTAGCCATTGATGTTGGGATTTAATCAGAGCCATAGTCGAGTTGTGACCCTTTTTATAAGCAAATTGGTCAGGACCAATGTTATTTCTTGTGATAGGTTCGATTTCAGATTTATACACGCACTTCTCGAATAGTCTCATGATGATGTCCGTCAGAGAGATTGGTCTTAACTGGTTGCACGAATTTAATGGTGATTCTTTAGGGAGTGGTAATAAATTAGCGGATTTCCATTTCTGAGGCACTTTGCTGGTTTTTAGTGACATGTTAAAAATTTCTGTGACAATAGGAGCTAATTCAATAGCAAACGATTTCCAAAACCAATATGGCAGATTGTCCGGACCCGATGAAGAGCGTTTTTGATTGCGTAAAAGATGTTGAACTTCATGAATTGACACCGAGGGAATTCTTGTTCCTTCGGAGATTTGAAGAGGCTCGGGAGTCGTATAATTTGGGTCTGTATTCACACTTTGAAAATATTTGTTAATTTCACTAGGGTTAAGAGAAGCACTTACAGATACATCATGTTTCTTTTTTCTCGATGTAATGCTATTTACGTTAGACCACCAACTTTTCGATCCAGTTTTCTGGTTGCCAAACTCCTGTTTGACTGCACTTAATTGATTTTCCCGAATTAACTTGTTGATTTTTTCTTGCAATCGTGTATTTGCTTCAGTATTTCCGTTTTGTATGGCTCTTTTCCTTTGATTCAGAAGGTGGTTAACAAGAGGAGACATGAACGGAGGGTCGCGTGATGACGTTCTGACCTTAATTAGTGGGAAGCTCTTATCGAATTTTGGCCATATTATTTCATAAAATTTTAGGGTTATCTCATCTAGGTTATGGCTATTCATAATTATCGTGTTCCAATCAATAGATTCAAATTCACGAAGCATATTCAATTGATGATGTTGTCTCACATCTCTGAAATAGGAATTTGTCCTTGTTGCTTTAACTATGTTTCGGGGGTATGTGATAACCATATCATGGTCAAAAGCAATGTCAAAAGCCCGAAGAATAAGAACAATTTCCGTGTTACAAGCGGCGGAAAATTTCCCGTGTTGACATGGAGTTATATCAACACGGCTCTTAGCCAATCAGCGTTCAGAATTTACAAATGCTATATTATAAAATTGCTTATATAACTTATCAAAATCGTCGACTCAAATCATCAAAGGCAAACCCGGAGAACAAGAGCAAGGACAGAAATGATTCAAAAGATATTTATGAAAATCCTGACAAAATCCAAGACGACGCGAATTATGAACAAGTGGAAAATGAACAGTCGACGTATACGGCTCTCAAAAAGACTGGGAAGGACGAAAATGAACATTACTAGTACCAAGTAACTGTTAAACTGTTATCATTATATCTGAAATGTATAAAACATAATCTATAGCCGTGTTGACATTGCACTTCGTGATTTAGGAATGTTTGATATTTGTTATTCATGGAATTTCAAAGCACCGCAGACTTCCTGCTGAGTTTCAATGAATATTTTTGTTATTTTGCTTCGCGTAGTTGGTTCATGTCTTCTTCCGCTTTCATAACGCGTACTTGAATTGAAGGTCTTCCTCAATTAAAGATGTTTTCAAAGCGTCTCAATTTTGTAATACTGACTGTGATTTTCCTGTTACTCCAAGGTACGTTTTCTGTCGTTTATATTATAACATGCATTTATATTTCAAGTGCTTTCAAACACGCAGTCACTTCCGCTCTAAATCTAACCTCATAATAAGTGGCAATTATTATAAATCTAAACAAGACGATCCTTGCAGCGTTAGCTAAGTCGCTTAGACTATGGAAATATGTAACTAGTTTAAGTCTTAAGTAGAAGTAAAGCACTAAAAAAGACCGATTTGTTTTTCGAAAATATTGATTCTTGAAGTTTGCCTGGCATTTCGCGCTAATAGTTAAAACCAGTACAACCATGCATGCATGTAGCTATCGTCTACACGACTACACAATGACAATGAAACCAGTAATAGTAAATTTAACTTAAACACTAGTAATGACGAACATGCATGTCTATGGAGTTAAATCAGAGAGTTAAATGTGACCTAGCTAGCTAAATATGGTGATTGGTGCCTGAGGCTGCCGGAGTTCAGTATATCACAGAAACAATATACATATATATATATATATATATATATTGAATATATATATATATATATATATATATATATATATATATATATATATATATATATATATATATATATATTCAATATTGAATTTGTGCGTAGTGAACTAGAGTGCTCAACACCAATAAATCAGTAGAGCAAATAAAAAGACATAAACAACAAATTTCAATCTTAAAATTTTATTTCATCAATATAATATTTCATCATAATAATATTTCATTTATTTTATTTCATTTTATTTCATTTTTTTTTCATTTTTTTTTTTCATTTTATCGCCTGATCGCCTGATGATCGTACGCTGTACGTGAAACACTGTGTAGTGATGAAATAAAATTTTAAGATTGAAATTTGTTGTTTATGTCTTTATATATATATATATATATATATATATATATATATATATATACAGGGTGTATAAAAAAAAGCGCAATCCTCGACTGAAATGTAAATTGCTAAACAAATAATAGACGAAAACCTTAAAGTTTACATTCATTTTAAAGCGTAGCCATTCAGCTTTCTAACAGTGGGTTGTTTCTTAAATTTGACTCATTGGTTCGCGGGTAATAATATTTTACGTTATTGCGATTGGAGATTAAAAAAATTGAGATGGAATAACAAATCGTTCTCATGAAAATAACTGATTTTTCATTAAAACAAAAAAATGTTGCATTTTATTAAATGGATTGTAACAATAAGTATAATTACGGCTTTTCTTCCACTATTTTTAACTCAGTTTGAAACTTCAAATGCGATATAATTTTGGCTTGGACCATCTAAGCTGACTGACATCAACTTGCTATAATTTCTGTTTACATTACACCGCAATTCGATGACATTCTGGCTCAGATACCAGAATGTTTTGACGATTTTTAGCATTCGTTTAGGATTTTCAAACAACCTGGTCTCTTTTAAAATACTTCTAATTTGTTCTTACGTGGTTTTCCAGATGTAGTGACCGAGTGACGACAACATTAAAGTTTAAAGAAGAAAATTCTAACATTTAAACCGACTAAACAATAACATAGTAAACTTGCATAATTAAACAGCAACTAAAAATTATAGGTTTTACTAAATAAAATCTTTTCCTGTGCAATTATTACCAGCATTGGAGACAAGGATAATAGTTTGTTTGAAAGAGAAAAGAACAGGCTTTGAAGTAAGCCTAAAAGCGTTTAACTAGAAATAGTATTTTGAAAGTTATTAAGCACAAAAGATGAATTGCGTTTATT